CCCCGCCAGGCACGCCCCCCCGCACGCACGCCCTCCCTGCCCGCCCACCAAACCATTACTGAGCCGAGCTCTTCATCATCCTGTCTACAATGCGTGCCGAGCATAGCCCCGCACGCCAGGCTCCCTGGACGGCAGAGCGGACAGCTGCAGCCAGGTAAGACATCCCCCGAAAATAAGACCTAGTGTCTTTTTTCGTAGAAAAAAATATATAAGACACTGTCTTATTTTCGGGGAAACACGGTAAAAGGTCTGTGTATTTTTAACATGAATGAAGCCCTAGTCATATTGACATGAAACTAGTGAAAGAGGTAAATGCCCCAACATTCAGCTCAGTATATGTACCAATCCAGTTGGGGTTCATGGGAATTTCTCTGCCATTACTCACCATAGGAGTATTTCATTCCACAGAACACTTTTGGGTTTCCTAATGCTTGCTCCTTGCATTGACATTTTCCTGAAATAAAAAAACAAAACAAAACAGAATACTTATTTTAATAACAGAATATATTAGTTCTGTTTTATCTGTTGCAAAAAAGATATAGTTTTCACTCATCACATTTGCATGTATTTATTTTTCTTGGACTTGTGAAGGCGGTTTTTATGCTTTGAAGACAAGGGTTACATTGTATAGAAGTGGTTGATTTGAAATCCCAGTGTAACTTTAGACCTAGACTAACATCAACCATGGGGCTTTGGAAGTATTTTTTAGTGATGTAATGGTAGTTTCAAGAAAGATGGGGGTGTATGATCTAAAGCGCTAGTATTACTATGAATAGCCTCACTTTCCATTTAAAGGAAACCTGCCTTGTGAAAAACATAGAGGCTGCCATTGTTCACCTCTTCTGAAAATGTTTTCTGCCTGGCTCTAAAGTTGTCACTCTTGCTTCAATACTTTGGGGTTGTTTTACCAAAGGCAAATGGGCTGTACACTTTGCAAGGGAACTTTCTAGGGATGCACCGATACCGGTCTTGGTGCCGATACTAAGCACTGATTCGGAGACTTTTGTTATAGATTCAGCTGCCGTAAGGTCCTGCGCTTGCTGGGGACCTTACGGCAGCCTTCTGGGCCTTCAGGTCACAGAAAAGGCCCCATTCTCCTGGCTTCAGCGTACCTGGAAGAGAGTACAGCGTAGTCCGAGCTTGAGGCTGGTGATCAGGGACCGGCACCCAGTCCACAAGGCCACCGAGGCCCGGCCTCGGGGTGGCAGAGCGCAGAGGGGCGGCAGGGGTGACTATCCATACAGCGCTACCTTGACACAACTGATGCTGCTATTATTAGGACATCATGGTGTATAATGGCGTCGTAATGGGCTGCTGTCCCCATAGCTTGGCCATCTCATAAAAAGCAAGCAGCTCCACTGCGGCTCTTGAGTCACCATCAACCTGTGCTTGTACCGCTATGTAGAGAAGAAGCTGGTGTGTACATAGGAGGTGAGAGCCGGTAAGGAAACGAAGGAGGACTGTCTGCCTGTGGAGGAGAGTGTACCCCATGTGGGACCTGATGCACTATCTACCCCTCTGGAGTAATGATGACTACTACAGTAACATATGGGACAGGGGGAAGGTGACATTCCGGGGCAATGTGGATCGTAGGTGACAGATCTTTGCCGACCATTGTAATGACAACCACACACAGGCAGACTGTGCATCAGATTCTGTATAGAGGCCCGTCCATACATTACATACCTTCTGATGTGACAGATGAGATCTGCTACAAAATCTGGTGGGGTGTGTGGCCACCTTTAAGCTGGTATTAAATATTAGTCTAGCCCAAAAGTCACCTGTTATCATCTGTAGTGGCTCAGGTATTGTTTACACAGTAATGTCTAAGCATTATTGTCTACAGAATAATGATGCTGGTAATATATGTAAAGATCAACCATCAATCAGTCATAGATACTTGTCTGATACAATTAAGAAGATCGTATTGATCATCTTCGAATAGATTTCCCACAAATCATGAAACTGAATGCTGACTGATCAGTCCCCATATAGTGCAGTCCATTTGTGAAAGATAGATTTTTATATTATGGCTCATATTATGCTTAAATCTCTTTACTTTTCTCCAGCAGCAAAAGAGTTAACAGCAAGTAAAACAAACTGATTAATGTACAAACAAACTTGCTGGAACCCAGCACTAATAACAACCAATCAGTATGAAATATGTGCTATTTAATCAAATGAAGCACACAGAACTTCACACAGAACTAAAGGAGATTGTACAATCAGATTGTAACACACATGGCCAGTTGTAGAATGTTCTATTCATCTTCTATCTAATAAGGTGAGCCTTCAAGCCTCATTCACATGGCATACAAATCAGCACATTTTTAGTGGCAGGTACTAGCCTGAATATCGGACAAGTCTTGTAAAAATGGTGTCTGATCAGAATGAATGCCTGGCAGGAAAATTGTTATATGACCTCCCCAGTCTGGATGGAGTGATGGGAGAGGGGTTGTTCTCTTATATTTGTACAGATCTGGATGGAGTGACGGGAGAGGGGTGGTCCTTTTATATTTGTACAGATAACAGCAGCCCACCTTTCACTAACTGCTCAGAAAAGAGCGTCTTCAATAATAAAAACCATGTAGAAGCACGTCATTAAAGCATAATTACACAATTACGTCAATAAAGCATAATTACACAATTACAGTTAGGCCTCACATACAGATCTGGCCCGTACAGATCCATGCGGCGTGTACGGCCATATCGGGCCGTTCCTGGGAAGGACATGTGCTGCGAGTGATTGTACACAGCAGCCTGATTTTCTCTATGGCAGTACGCGGCCGTACGCTCTCCTGAACTGCACATCCATGCGGGTGTCCGCAGGATGGATAGATCCTGTCTGCCTCCAAGCATGGACACCCGCACCAAAAAAACAAAAACAAACAAAAAAGCACCACACACGTATAAGGGCCGGTTCACACCACAAAGGCTGCGTTCCAGAGTGTTCGCCCTCTGGAACGCACTTGAACGCAAGCCGGCCGGCTACCTGCGGTCATGATCGCCCGCACCCGGAACACAGGCACATTACTGTCGGCGTTCCGAGCCAGTGCGATTTGCAAAAATAGTGCTTGCGGGCAGCAGACTAGAGAACGTCTGTTCTCTGATATACTTTCTGTGATCAGTGACACAGGAGCACTGTAAAAATAACTAAATGTAAAAATAAAAAAAAGTGATAATAAAGTAAAAATAATAAAATTAAAACCAACCCCGCCGCCCCCACTATCTGCATGTGAATAAACACACCCGTAGGGCATTGTATGTGTGTGTGCACATGCTGAGAGCTGCCGACATTTCACTATGTGCCATATCGTGGTAGCCGGACAGCAGCGCTCTCTAACAAGCACAATGTGCATTAAAGGGTAAGTCCACTTTCCCAAGTAATTTGGGAAAATGGAATAACCCACTCAAATCTGGCCCCATCTCTCCCCCCGCCCCCCTATACTTAACTTTCGGCAAATGATCCTCTGCCGATACGGGTGTAGTTTCTGTACCCAGTACTGACGTCCAGAGCAGCCCTGTGCCATGTATTTTGAATTTCGCATGCAAATAGCGAGCACTCGTTGGTCACCTTAGTCACCTCACCACACTGACCAATAAGAAGCACTTCTTAGCATGGTTAAGTACAGTTTTGGTTAAAATTATTTTTTTGTATCACGACAAGTAGATTGTCATGAGCGACCAGTAGATTGGGCCCCTGCTTTAGTCCTTGTCCAAGTATTTTTTTAAAAATGTCCTCACCCCTGTATATGCTTGAGTGAAAAGGGTTAATTGTCATGAAACTTTAGCACAGGTGTCTCATAACATGCGGATCAGCAGCACTCCCTTTGTTGACATTCCAAAGAGAGGGAGCAGTAAAATGGGAGCAGTTTTCAGTTTATCCAATAATTAGAAAAAGGAATGTTTGTGTAATCCAACAAAAACAAACCACGCTAAATGCATTTTCATTGACATAAATGAATCCTAATAGAAAATTAAAATGTGGATTATGAAAACCACAAATCTTGTTGACTGTTGTCTTCCATGCCAGCTTTATAAATGAATGTGCTGCATTGTGTGGATGTGTTCAATTCTATCTATCCACCCCTCCCCAGCATTACGTAGAATATAATCTTTTATAACCTCAGTTTGCATTATTCTAGTTTAAAAGCCATTGCATCTGTGCACTGCAAGGGTTAACTGCTCGTTTTTGTCTAAAGGACCTTTGTAAAGCACTTTAATTTACCTGATCCCTGCTCCTGCAGGCTCCAAGACTGACATCTGCAGCCTCCTTGTGCTCAAGTGGTCAGGGGTGAACACTAACTTACTAAGCACTTAAGGTAAGCACTTAAAAGAGAATAATGGGGTACAAAGTTTTTTGCATTTTTATCTTCCTAATGATACAGGAGTACATTTTGCTACTACTGTAATAAAAATGCACCATAAGCTTACAATTCAATGTAATATACTGTGGGCGGGGCTAAGCTCTGTGCGGAGAAGTGATCTAGACAATATTGTCGAGATCCTCCTTTCCCGTTGAGTGACAGCAGCTTGTAGGAATTGCTGCACGTTCATGAGAACCTGTGGATGCTCAGGAGCTCAGGGCACATCCTATCAGAGTTAACACTTGCACATTCATCCCGCAGTGTGTCTTTTCATCCCCTCCACACTGCTGTCTGCAGACAATACACATACCATATCGGCACTAAGACCGTCAGTTCAGCACCACCCTAGTCCCTCTCTTCTCCACTCTGCTGTCTTGGGACATACACAGAGAGAAGAGATAAAGACAACAGCATGGAGGAGAGGAATGTGAGGACAGAGCTGAACTGACAGTCTTAGTGCTTATGTGGTATGTGTATTTGTCTTGTACCTTAGTATGAGCCTGAATTGACAAGGAAGGCCTCGTCTTGCAGCTTCCGTCTGATTACCCCTGGAGATGGAACAGAAGGTCTACAGACAGAGAGGCTATAGTGCCTGAAGCTGATGCTATAGACGGCAGGGTAGATGGTGCAAAGATCTGGACCCTGGATGTGGTAGGAGAAGCCGACCATCAGTTGAGGATTCCAGCAGTAAGTGGGTAGCACCAGGATTGGCAGAAGAAGGAGACAGACCAGGTCGGTAACTTGCAGGCAGGTGAAGTACAAAGTCAAGAAGCAGGGCAATGTCAGAAGGCAGGCCAGGGTCAGCAACGTGAGAGCAGAGCAGTACCAAATCGGAATCCAGAAGAATGGTCAGTGGGTAAGCCAGGGTCAGAAGGCAGGCAGCAGGATCAGGAAACATGCCGGGTCAAACACAGATTCAGGAGCAGTCAGACAATAGCATTGAACAGCTGAAGATCTCTCAGCAAAGTGCAAGTGTAACAAGCATCCTTAAATAGCCCATTTGGCGCCACTGGGAGGAATGTGAGTGTGCACGTCAGCGCGTGCGCACCTTGACTTGCAGATGTGCGCATTGGTACGTTTATGCGCATATGCAATATTGGCACGGTAATGCTGTCTTCGCGCATAGTTATGCGCAACTGCTCGTGCATCAATAAGTGCAGAAGCTGCACTATGGACATTGACTGACATTCCCTGACAGTATTGTCTGAAGAGTGTGGAACAGACATACAGAGAGGACACATCGCTCAAATCACAAGGCTTCTTTTCTTATGTTTATTTCCTCAATACTGCACTTTTCTAGCTCACATCGCTATGATTTCAATTCACAAATGTGCATAACACACTTTACACTACTCTGCATGTAATGGTAGTTTACCACTGCTAGTGCTATTATAACACTTTCATTGTTTATTTTGTAGGTCCTAATGATAAAATCAACGTAAAAGTCAACCCACAAACATTAGCATAGAGGTTGTCACTCCTTAAAAAAAAAGCTTCACATATTTGTTGAAAGCCCTATTGTCTTGTAAAGCGTCTTTTTATCTTATTAGTTGTTCTTTATCACTTCCTCAAACAGCTCCTCTTTCTGCTTTCCTACATAGACCGCCATTGAAACTCTATATTATATAAACTAATCTTTATATAATGCAAAAAAATAAAGGTTACACATCTTTATGACATGTGTTATTAAATGGAACATTCTTAGGAAAAAATATCAAAAGAAAAACAGTACTGTTATTAAAGTAACTCATTTATCTCAGTGAATAGAGTTTCCACAGCAGAGGTCCAGAGTGTCATTTTCCTGGTAACTTGGTCTGGTTAGGAAAAAGGAGGAAAGGGAAGTAAAAGAGAGGAGACATAAGGAGAGTGGGTGTTGGATGGAAAGCAGTTTTGAGGAGTTTGTGTTAAAACAGTTGGAGCCCAAAGATCTAAACAGTGACAAATTCATGGCCAAAAGTATTGCTACACCAACTTTTTCCAAAGAATCCCAATTTGCTGTGAAATAAGTTGAAACTGAAGTAAATGGAATCCACCACAAGTTAAAAGCATCTCCAAAGGGATACATCTCCTGTGACCACAATTGCTAATATTATCCATTAGTTTATGTCCATGGAACCTTAGCGTACCTCCCTGGATATGGCCACAAGAGGAACATGGACAAAAGAATAATAAAAATGATAGAGCAAAGGAAAACTTTAAAACAAATCCTAGCTGACCTCTAGATCCTAGCTGACATCTAGATCCTAGCTGACCTCTAAGATCAGTGTACATCACTGTCTGAATGAAAGTGGCCTCCATAATAGAAGACTCAAGAAAACCCCACTTCTGAAAGATCGACATAAAAAAGCCAGACTGGAGTTTGGTCAAATACACATGACAAAAAGTTACAGTCTTTCTGTAAAAGAAAAATTTGATCTTTTTTGTAAATCACAGCAGCTCTATGTTCACAGAATACATTTTTTTTTTTTTAAACAAACCCCCCCACTATCCATACTGTTAAACATGGCGGAGGCTACATAATGTTACTGTGTTTTTTGTGCTGCCTCTGGCATCAGGTGCCTTTCTTTTTGTGCAGGGCACTATGATATTGAAGAATATCAAGACATTCTGGAGCGAAACATTATGCCGTGTTGAAAAGCTTTGTCTCAATCTTAGGATAGGAGTTCTCCAGAAAGATAATGACCCAAAATCATTCAAAGAATAACCAAGAACAGTTGATAAGGAAACGTAATTTGAAATCACCTGCTGACTTCTGATCTGAATCCAATGCTACATGTGTAAAAAGAGCTAAAACCCACAGTTGGGAGAAGGAATCTTTTGAACCTTAAACACACAGTAAAGCTTGCTCAAGATGACTAGGACAAATTGCCATGTGGGAAGTGCAGAAGTGCTATTCTGTGCTACAGAAAGCTCTTGATTACAAAGGGTGGGCTAGGAAATATTAGATTGTGAGTACCAATAATTATGTCCATGTCATTTGTTTACTTGTTTTATAATTTTAAAGATTATGTTAAGTCAAAAAGCAAATGCAAAGTGTCTGCTTTATGAACGCTGAAATAAAAAATGGCAGATGCCATCTACTAGTGCCAGTTTCAATGTATTTAATAAGAAACTGAAAACCTTTGGGGTTAAAGTGGAAGGTTACCAAAACAATTGGCCACATGTGTATAAACAGAAATGAAAGAGAGGAAAAGGAAAAAAATAAAGGAATAGACACAGGAGAGAAGTAGTAGAGAACAAAACATATAAAAGTATAGTCAGTTCCCACAAGAAAGCAGGAACAAGGTGCCAAGTCAGTGACAACAGTAATGAAGATAGCAAGGAAGAAAACTAAAGAAGAATCATATCTGCCCTAAACTAAAATTTAGGCCTTTAGGTTTAAATTATCCATTAAATCTATGGTTGACTATGATTCACCTTTGAGAATCAGTGCTTTATAATGTGGCACTAGTAACTCCTCATTGTATTAATGTTTCACATCTGACTTCCTCTCTAGGAAAAGGTCCTGGGATGCCATGAAAAAGTGCCTGGTTGTTTTAACGAAGTCATGGAAAATGGAAATTACAAGCACTCAACTAAAAGCGTGAAGTCTTTCTGCTTTTTATTGAAGTAACATGTCACAAGTGTCGTACAGCAAACGTTTCGGGGCCACACAGGGTCCCTTCTTCCAGGAGAAATAGTGACAAACATACAGTGTAACTTCCATCTATATATACATTTACATATAAACTTATATATAGGTGAAAGTTACACTCCATTTTCCATGACTTTGGGAACCACGGCGCCATTCGTGTTATCACTACGAGCATCATGACACCACGTTAACTAAATAGGCCCAAGCGCTGTATGGAATGCAGGTGACCGACCACAGCACTGAATTACTGTTTTACCTCACACATTCTGGCCTCTGCTAAGCGCTAAGGGTTTTTATGCCCTCCATTTCTGTCTTGAATGTATAAATCTTTTTCAAAAGTTGGAAGGCATATTTGCCATACTAGTTTCAATGTGGTGACACAGTATACAATGACAACAATTGTTTTCAGCTTTACTCCTGAACAAGAGCAATATTTGGAAAGGTCCCTTAACTACACAAAAACATTCAGGGTTTTCAAAGCTTGTTTACTAAACATCAGCAGTATAAAAAAAACCTCATATGCCTCATATGTTTTTCAATTCATTGCATAAAATTACCATTGAATAACACATGGTGTAATGTGCATAAAGTAAACAATACAATCTGGGTTTATTCTATATAATGAAATTGACTGAAACCAGATTACAGCCGCAGACTTCTCACCTGAGTGACGAAGGGCTGAAAATCCCTGTTCATCTTCCCATTCCCAGGCCTGTCCACTCTCATTAAACACAGAGAGGTATTCAGGAATTTCACGATACCAGTCTATTTCCATGCTGTGAAGAGAGATTATTAGAAACACGGCCATAATACAAATGAACAGTATCATGATTCATTTTCTCAACAAAAACTGTCACTGTGTTTCAATAACTAGGACTATGTTCAATTACAATTAATCATTCATTTATTTTACCGAAACAAGATTTGAACAAGTCCGAGTCAGTGAATATTTTCTGGTATGTTGGGTGAGGGGAGTTAAATAATGAGTGGCTTGCCTGGTCCATTTAAACCAATGACATCAGCAGATGATGTTGGCTTGAGGTCAGACCACAGACAGAGCACATTGTGTCCAAAGCCAAGTCCATTATTGGTTACAGAATAGGCGTTATATCTGCATAACTGACCCTTCTAGTCTGTTGTGCACATTTAACCCCTAAGAAATGAAACTCATATAGAGTTACCATTAAGTACAAAAAGATTGTAACAATAGTTTTTATATATACACAAATATACAATACATTTTAATTAAGTGTCCAGTATACCAGTTCTGTTCTACAATAATGACACATTACATGACACATGGCAAAACGTCAGACTTGAATCTGCACATGTGTGTAGGATTTCTGCAGGAATAGAGTACATGACAATATCTGAGAGTGGCAGAGGAGAATGAAGCAAAGCTGCTTCAATGCTGCAGGGAAAGTATTCCTAAATGGAATATGTGTGCTTTAAATATTATCTAGAGGTCCTTTCTTTTAAAACGTTATTTTAATTTGACTCATGTATTTAGCTAGAAGAAAGCAGAACATATTTAGATATCATATTAAAGAAAAGTATTTCATGTGTGGTCCATATGTTTTTACATGCTACAACACTAATAGTAATAACACTGCTCTCAGGCTATGCTGAATCAGAGAAAGTGTGTTGAAGAAAATATGAATTACCATATTGCTGTACACTAAATAAATATACCAGGACTAATTTGTTACATCTGCAGAAAAGAAAATGAGAACAAAACTGGAGATTGTTGCCATAAGCAATCAATCAGGTTTCACCTTTGAAACAAGAATTATGGTCACATTAGCTCAACCTCTGCACATTTTCTTTTCTCCACTTGTAATAAATCAGCCCCAGTGAGTGCTCCTTTGGAAACACTGCAAATCTGCTGTCATTTTGTCAAGTGCTTCTCTACAGGTTCACTAGTGTTCTGCTGTATGAAGCTGCAGGTTCTTGTAACATTATTTTTTGCAGCTTCCCTTCCTCTCTGTGAGAGACAACAAGGAGTCTCCCAAATGTTTCTCTGCAAGTCCTTATCTAGGCTACTGAGTGGAACTGCAGCTTCTTGTAACATGATTCTTTGTGACTTCCCTACGAGACAGCAAGGGGCCTATAGTGGATAGTGAGTAACACTGGCCTTCGCTATCATATAGTCATGTCACCACATCCTACCCTGACAACTAAGTGCAATCAGGCAATCAGAATGAATGTACTTACAAAGCTCTATGCCGCAGCAATCTGATCTGCCTAGGCAGAGACATCACGCTGCTATACTTCCTAAAACTAACATGTCTGGGGGTGTTGGATCCTCAGACATACGGGCAATTATAATATACATAATATTCCATTACCATCAATATCCCAAACATGTTCACTGTCAAAAGCTAATTAAGTTCAAGATTTTTGATCATCTGACCTAATGGGGAAATCTTTCTTTCCTATTAACTTAAGTAGGCTCCTACTGAAATACTGATCATAAGCATGGAGTCTACTTAAAATAACAAAAGGGATATAATGCCTAAAAGAGCTTGTAATAAACAGACGTAAGGTACCTAATGTAGTCTGTTTCTAGAACTTACTTGTTCATACAGTCTCCTGTAAAGGGATCACAATTTCCAGCACAATCACATGGTCTGCAGCCATAGTCACCAAACCCCCAGTATCCCACCATACATCGGTCACAGCTAGGCCCGGCTACACCAGGTTTGCAAGGACAGTCTCCATTCTGAAGATCACAGGTTGTAAAGGTGGTAGAGGGAAGCTTTGCTGAACCAACTGGGTGACAGGAACATGCTGAAAACACAAGAAATTGAAATAGTTATTAACTTTAAAACAGATTTACATGACATGCTAGTTTCCAAAAATATCTGTTCATCTTTTCAGGCAATTTAAAATATATTTAAATATAAATATTTTTATTTTAAAACTTTTTTTAATGTATAAATGCTACCTCAGTAAAACACTGTACAATGATTTGCTGAATAGGGGGGCTAGACAGGAATGGTTTTGCATCATAGACATTCTTTCACACACATACACTGAATAGTAAAAATACAGAAACACCTTTTTAGTCTTTCACATAGCCAGCCCACTAAAAATTATATTTAGTTAGCGTTAGTGTATGACTTCTTATATGTTTTGGATAATCCTACAATCAGATCTCCTTGCCATAATTTTTCACTGTTCCTGTCTACCTGGTAGTTTTGAGTGTTCCCACCCACTGTCCAGCACATATGCATTTTCCATAGCATAAAATAAGTAAAAAGAGTGGGTTTTGATATGCCTCCTATTTAAAATATATTTAAATATAAATATTTTTATTTTAAAACTTTTTTTAATGTATAAATGCTACCTCAGTAAAACACTGTACAATGATTTGCTGAATAGGGGGGCTAGACAGGAATGGTTTTGCATCATAGACATTCTTTCACACACATACACTGAATAGTAAAAATACAGAAACACCTTTTTAGTCTTTCACATAGCCAGCCCACTAAAAATTATATTTAGTTAGCGTTAGTGTATGACTTCTTATATGTTTTGGATAATCCTACAATCAGATCTCCTTGCCATAATTTTTCACTGTTCCTGTCTACCTGGTAGTTTTGAGTGTTCCCACCCACTGTCCAGCACATATGCATTTTCCATAGCATAAAATAAGTAAAAAGAGTGGGTTTTGATATGCCTCCTAATGGCTAAAGCAGGTGTGCAGACCCAGGACTTAAGCACACACAGTATATCTTACCAATGGATTCCCTGGGAGAACTTGTCAGGTGGATTAACTTTCCATTATCTACCAAAGGCTAAAATATCAGTTGTCAGTTGTAAAAATCTGATTTTACTCACCTCACCTCACTCACATTGCTGAACAATATTCAACAAATGAATGTGGAGAGCAATGGAGAGATTGTTAAAATCTGTTGATTTGTTTGCTTTTATAGAACTGTGTACAACCACTCTCAGACGTAAAAAAAAAACTCCACTTACGAATGGCAGTGTCACCCATAACAATAGTTAGGTAAGCATGTTCTCCCTATGTTACTACTGCTCTTTACTGCCTTGTGTTCTTTTATGACTCAATAATTGTAGGGAATAATGCCATGTATGCCAAAGCAATACATTTACCGTTTCAGATTTACAAGACTCATTTCAAGAGAGAAAACATCTACTGCACCTCCAAACCATTGGCAAATGCATCCTTCATTGGCTTTCATAAACCACACAGCCACTGGCACAGCATAAAGAGAATCAATGTCATGAGGCATGGTGTCCTCTGTCATTGGACAATGCTGCCAGATTTTCTATTTAACTACAGACTTTATTGACCTCAGAGAGCACCATACTTTCCTCCTTTCAGATCTGGAAGTTACCTATGGTTTACTTCTGACTGCCATCCAACCAGAGCACGGGTGCTTGCGATACAGACCTACACTCTGCAAAACTCCCACAGTGCTTGGCCTATCTAATGTATTCAACAATTTACAGCATTTTTCAGAAATGTAGTAGGCTGATTACCCCAGTATACACTGTCATAGTAAATGAAAACTTATCTTCATTCTACTAACAGTATAAACCTCATTTAGATATGAATTTCAGTGTAATGTATTCTAGAAGCTCATGCTGCATGTTCATAGTTTAATTGCAAGTAACAGCAAACTTGAAACCATTTAAGTGCTATTATTTAACACAGCTAGTCTTTAAGAAAAGAATCAGTTAAAGTGACACTAAACTCAGGAGTTAAATCGTAAAAATGCATTCAAGTACCTTAACTATTAACAATAATGTATCTTATTTGTCTATCGCTCAGCTGTAGATCCTCTAATCATCTCTGAATTGGTACTGACACTGTCCTTTCTTCTGGAGGGTGGCTATTTTTGTTCCCCATGGTCCCTGTGTATGTTGTAAAGTAGCCACCGCTCCAAGTTCCCAAAAGTGGGAGTAATCCCACTTTTGTTGCGAAAAAAGAATCAAAAAAATCAATCCTCTATGGATGATCAGTGCACATTATAAGGATTTTAACAAACTGCTTTGCAGTTTCCTACCTGTCTCTGTTCTGAAAAAAAAAGCTGTTTGTTGTAGCATGTCTTTTTCAAACTGATTCCGGAATTGAAGGGGTTGGATTTGTTATGACCAGCTGGTGAACTTCAAGTATTGTCATCAGGAAAGGTGCACTGTCTCCATCCCTTTAGTAGTTATTGACCCTTAGGGAGTGTTTCACCAAATACAAAATTCCAATTGCAAGAGATGCCAAATATTGTACTTATATCTTAGTGCAGACTTCTGGGAAAATCAATCAGCCAATCACAGCAGCAGGAAATGACATTTTTGGGGGCATTCCGTGCACAATGGGTGTGTCCAGGTCATCATATTGCATTGATATTTTTAGATAGATTTAGAACATTACAGCAACTACAGTTTTAAATGGAAATGTCATTTTTAGGAACACGAAAATTACAAAATGGCTGGTGCAACAATTATATATGCCATATCCATTTTTTAAAGATTTTTTTTCATTTCTATACCCCTGGCTGGCTATATAATAGTCAAGCATCCATACCCTGCAGCAAATCTTACTTTGTAAAGATACATTTAAAAAAGGTTGCATACCACTTATTGGTCACAGGCTGCCGAGGCCTTCCAGATATATCTTGGGAGATTGATACCATTAGGCTTTACAATTTAAGATGTTTTTGCACAGTCTATTGTATTTTATATTTTGTGGAATTCCCTGGAACTGTGCATTGTTTACATTTAGACTTTGGATCTAATAAAGTGATCCATCCATAACGGCTGCCGGCCTTTTGTAATGTCTGAGCAGAAGAGTTATTTTTTTTAAAGTGTGGTATGTGGTGCCAGGGGCACTGTTATTGTTTCCAATGTACAACCAGAACACACATGAACATTTTCTCCTACTTATATTGCAGCACCTGCCTGACAACATGTCATGACTAAAACTATTGATGGATGCAATGCCATTTCAAACAAATAAATGTTTTGGTATTCATCTCATCCTCCCCAGCACACTTTACCTTTGGCAGTTAAGCATATGAACCATTCATTTGTCACATAATAGGCTAATGATAATGTCTCACTCTATGTAAAAGTGTGAAATTAAAGTGTTACATGCAGAATGAGACTGTACATATTTGTATTAGTCATGCTTGTTTAGTCTCACGGAAAGCTGTCACATTTTTTTCTTTACTTTTAGCAGTTGATGTAGAAAAAAACGGGGCACATTTCTGACATTCCTGTCAGCTAAAAGATTTAATTTACTTCAAAAACATGAAGGAACCAGCTAAAATGTTGCACTATTTCAAAGCAATTTATACACACGCAATTCGTAATTCAAATAATCATAAAACCTTTTCTTACATTGGCAGGGAAGGCCAGTATAAACTTGGGAATAGTTGAGGGAAAACTCAACTATTGCGTTGGAGAGAGTTTAAGCGACTTCGGGATCAATTTTCTAAGGCATGTGGTAATTTCATAAGTACAAGAACGGCAGATACTCACATCAATTTAAAAGTAGCAACAACTCAGTATACAAACCAGCTCAGTATACAAAGCAATACAAACATTCCCCAGCACACTCGATAGTCAGCACAAAAAATCTAAACATCTCAGGATAAAAAGTTAAGCATTCATCAATATACAGTATGTAATGCTACACTGACCCATCAAGGCACCTCAATATAGTGTAGTACCTAACTCAGATATTTGAGTTCCCAAGTGTGGGATATACAATATATATAACGGAAAATTATACTTCCCTTTCGGTAATTTTCCTTTCCTGATGCCAATACATGGCAGCATACAAATGGGTTTAGCTCCGCCCCTCACCCAATCACAGGACCAGTTAAACTATAAATTAAAGCACCCTCCCAAGGCCACCATTCTATTACCAAGCACTCAATGTGAAAGCCATGGGAGGGTCTGATATGCTGCCATGTATTGGCGTCAGGAAAAGAAAATTACCGAAAGGTAAGTATACAATTTTCAATTTTCCTGACACCAACATGGCAGCATACGAATGGGACATAGCAAGCATAAACAAGGGAGGGCAAAAGTTGAGATATATATCTAATTTTCACAATTGTTAAACACATTCGGAACCAAACTTCTTCTTAGTGTAACCGGCTTGAGCATTGAGGACAGAAAAAAAAATGGTGGCCTTTGGGGGCATGCTTTAATTAATAATATTGTGTGCTTGCACCAAAACCAAGAAATCAAGAATGGCAGCCACTCAGGTCAATTTAAAACTAGCAAAAAAAAAAAGGGTGATTTCACATTTATTTGCAAATGTATGCAACAAAAACCTCTGTTTTTAACTTGAAATGCTGAAACAGTTAATTGGGTTTCTTTTGTGCTGACTAGCTGGAGAGTGCTAGGGAATTCTGTATTGCTTGGTATACTGCCCTACCTATGTGGAACTTTACTTTTTTTGCTAGTTTTAAATTGATCTGATCTGAACTGCTGCTATTCTTGCTTTGCTTGATTTGTTGCAGTTAAACACAAGTGACACCTCTGCAAATCAAGAAGATTAACCTGCAACTTTCTGGTTCAGAATTATTGCTTCCAGAGTCAGATACAATAATGATGCTGATTTATTGTCTAGTGAGGAAGACTGGAGACAGAGAGGTGACAAAAGAAGGTGAAATGCTTTAAGGATAACTATACTTTTACTTAAAGACCCCAACCCCCCTAAATGCAACCCACTGGGTTTGATACCTACCTCTGCCCCGATTCTATCGATTTTCTAAACATGCTGGGGGACACACAGTCTCTTTAAACAA